GCCAGGATCCTTGTCCTCGCCGCCAGGATCCTTGTCCTCGCCGCCAGGATCCTTGTCCTCAGCGTCAGGAACCTTGTCCTCAGCGTCAGGAACCTTGTCCTCAGCGTCAGGAACCTTGTTCTCAGCGCCAGGATCCTTGTTCTCAGCGCCAGGATCCTTGTTCTCACCGCCAGGATCCTTGTCCTCACCGCCAGGATCCTTGTCCTCACCGCCAGGAACCTTGTCCTCACCGCCAGGAACCTTGTCCTCACTGCCAGGAACCTTGTCCTCAGCGCCAGGAACTTTGTCCTCAGCGCCAGGAACCTTGTCCTCAGCGTCAGGAACCTTGTCCTCAGCGTCAGGAACCTTGTCCTCAGCGTCAGGAACCTCGCGAATGGCTTACGAAAATAGCCTTTCCCACCCTCATATATATGTATCTAATACAACAACATGCTATATGTTAATATACAGGAATTTGAATAAGTTTTTAGGAGACATGATTTAGGATTTTTGTTTTATTTTTAATTATGATATTGTATAAATGGGGTTCCCAACTAGTTTTAGATACAATAATGTATAAAATGTAGATTGTAAATTCTGTAATATAGAAAATAATAGAGATTCTATAATTATTACATGCTATATGTTGATAGGAATTTGAATACGTTTTTAGGAGACATGATTTGGGATTTTTGTTTTATTTCTATTCTATAAATTGGGGCCACAACTAATTTTAGATATAATAATGTATAATAGTGTAGATTGTAAATTCTGTAATATAGAAATATAGAGTTTCTACAATATATATGTATCTGATACAACTACATAATATATGTTGATAGGAATCTTAATAAGTTTTTAGGAGAAACGATTTAGGATTTCTGTTTTATTTTTTATGATATTCTATAAATGGGGGGGGGGGCACAACTAATTTTAGATATAATGTATATAATATGAAGATTGTAATTAAATTCTGTAATATAGAAAATAATAGTGTTTCTATAATATATATGTAACTTTGTATCTAATACAACCACATGATTATGTTTATATAGGAATTTGAATAAGTGTTTAGGAGACATGATTTAGGATTTTTGTTTTATTTTTATGTATGATGGGGTTCCCAACTAATTTGAGATATAATAATGCATAATATGTAAATTCTGTAATATAGAAAAAAATGTTCGAATAGACTAAAACAACTACATGCTATATGTTGATAGGAATTTGAATAAGTTTTTAGGAGACATGATTTAGGATTTTGTTTTACTTCTATTTATGATATTCTATATAAGTGGGGCCCCAACTAATGTGCGATATAATAATGTATAATATACAAACAGTAAATTTTGTAATATAGAAAATAACAGAGTTCTTATTATTATAAGAACTCTGTTATAATAATCTCTTGTAACAAGTTTGTTATAATAAATATATGTATCTGTTATAATAAATATATGTATCTAATACAACTAGATGCTATATATAAACTTTTTGTTTGTGGAAACACGTACATTTATTACTGCAAAGCTTTCAATCTGTAAGCCCAGATTTCTATCAGTACTAAGAATATAGGACTTATTCAATTCACACGCCCTTTTATATATCAAAGTGTCGCGATCTGTTGGCTCGCGTCATTTGAAATTTAATTAAACGATACATCAAGCACACCATTTAAAACGTAGCGAAGTGATTCTAATTAACGCGCGCATCGAAGACAAGAGAAATTAATTTTGCACATTAAAGATAGCACGCCACGTACTATCTAGTGGCTTTCCCTCCTTATCTATAGTATTGTGCATCTCGATTTCAATTGACTCTCTCATTTTGGTATACCATTCCAGTGAAAACAAATTGTTTCGAGCTCTTTGCACACATAAGGACAACGTGAATGAATCTCAGAAACGTGGTGTGTACGCGGCATTCCTTGTGAATGTGGTCTACACAAGATGTGTTCGTAACAGCATTGTAGCAAGCTTGTCACCAAGTTGTAACAATGCTGTTGTTTCATGAAGTTGCTACAAGGTTGTCACTCGCAACTAGTTGACAAATTGTTGAACTGCAGGACGATAACAAGTTGTTGGAATAACTTGTAACAAGTCTGTTGAGCTCAACAACCTTGTAACCATTAATTAATTTGTCAACAAGCCGTTGACAACTTGTCAACAAGCTGGGAACAAGCAGTGCGAACACATCCTGTTGACAAGTTGTTGGAACAGCACTGCAGCAAGTCTGCTGCAGGTTTGTTACAACTTGTGCGTTTTTACATGTGTAGTTTACATTGGTGAAACTGGTCAAAATCTCTCAATACGTCTTAAGGAACACAAGACGGATTGCGAGAAAGCCGAGCAAGATAAATCTGCCTTGGCTAAACATACTTGGACTTTCGACCATCGTATAAAATGGGACGAAGCAACCATTTTGGCGATTGATAGTCAAGTTCAATCGCAAAATGAGAGGTCAATTGAAATTGAGAAGCACATGCAGTGCTATAGATCAGGAGGGAAAGCCACTAGATAGTACGTGCAGACTTGCTCTTTTAATGTGCAAAATTAATTTCTCTTGTCTTAGATGCGCGCGTGTTAATTAGAATCAGTTCACTACGTTTGAAATGGCATGGCTGATGTACCGTAAATTTCAAATGACGCGAGCCAATGACAACTGAATTGACGTGTGAATTGAATAAGTCACATAGCACTGATGAAGATCCGGCGTTAAGGATCGAAAGCTTTGCACTAATCTATAATATATAGATGGTAAAATTTGTACTAATAGAGTTCCTATAATATATATGTATCTTAGATACATATATATATTATAGGAACTCTATATGTTAATACAACTATTAATACAACTATATAACTCTATTATTAAAACTCTATATATTATTACATAATACAACTGCATGCATGCTATATGTTAATAGGAATTTGAACAAGTTTTTTTAGGCACGATTTAGGATTTTCGTTTCATTCATGATTTTCTATAAATGGGGGGCACTCAAACTGCATGGCTTCTGAACATTAGACTCCATTTCGCATACTGCCATTGTTTTCAACTACATGGAGCCTAACATATGGCCTAACTATTTGCCATTTGCTCCAGGAATAAATGGTTTCTCTGTATAAAAATAGGTATGCATTGCATAACATGTGGCAAGATCACAGTATGCATGGCAGTGGTATATAAAATGAAATATAAATAAAATGTTAAGTGCTGTTTCCATAAAGACAGCTTAATAATGAGCAGCGATTGCATTTACTATATGCTTAAGCTTTCAAAATATACAGCACAGTTTACTGATATTTCAAAAACCTAAGGTTCACTACCTATGTGTGTTTTAGTTACGATAAAGTGCCATTCATGGCTTAGGAGTATAAGTGTAAATAGGTTTTACAAAACTATGCGATAGTTCTACACAAGTATAATAATAGTGTTATTAATGCATGCTAAGTGGGGGTATTTTGCCAAGATTTGCACATTTAAATATTTACAAGTGCATTGGGCTGTATGAGCAGCCAGCAACCAGCCGGAGAACATAGGGTTGCACAGTCAATTACATTGGCAAAAATTGGCAAAAAAGTAAGGCTATATATAGGCTTTTTAAAAAGGCTACAGCCTTAACTTTTCGTCCATTTTTAGCCCCTTTTTCGATTTTTGAAAAAGGGGCTAAAATTGGTATAAAAAAGTAAGGCTACAGCCTTAACTTTTCGTCCATTTTTAGCCACTTTTTCGATTTTTGAAAAAGGGGCTAAAATTGGTAAAAAAAAAAGTAAAGCTATAGCCTTAACTTATCGTCCATTTTGATCCACTTTTTCGATTTTTTTAAAAAGGCTATAGCCTTTACTTTTCCTCCATTTTTAGCCACTTATTTCATTTTTCGTAAGTGAGCAAAAAACAGCAAAAAAGTAAGAATATAGCCTTTACTTTTCGTCCATTTTTAGCGACTTTTGCCATTTTTCATAAGTGGGCAAAATAACAGTAAAAAAGTAAGGCTATAGCCTTACTCTATATTAGAGTAGGTAGATTATATTAGAGTAGGTAGATTATATTAGAGTAGGTAGATTATATTAGAGTAGGTAGATTATATTAGAGTAGGTAGATTATATTAGAGTAGGTAGATTATATTAGAGTAGGTAGATTATATTAGAGTAGGTAGATTATATTAGAGTAGGTAGATTATATTAGACACATTGGATAAGGTGTATAAAAAAAAAATGGATCCGATGGATCCATTGGATACAATGGACGCATTGGATAAGGTGTATAAAAAAAAATGGATCCATTGGATACAATGGATCCATTTTTTTATATAACTAAAATCCAATGTATCCAATGGATCCATTCGATCCACTGGATCCGTTCGATCCATTTTTTTTATATAACTAAAATCCATCAGATCCATCGGATCCATTTTTTTTAATATAACTAAATCCAATGTATCCATTGGATCCATCAGATCCATCGGATCCATTTTTTTTTATATAACTAAAATCCATTCGATCCATTGGATCCATCAGATCCATCGGATCCCTATTTTGTTTTTATATAACTAAAATCCATTGGATCCAACGGATCCATCAGATCCATCGGATCCATTTTTTTTTATATAACTAAAATCCATTGGATCCATCGGATCCATCAGATCCATCGGATCCATTTTTTTTTATAGAACTAAAATCCATTGGATCCATCGGATCCATTTTTTTTAATATAACTAAATCCATCGGATCCATTTTTTTTAATATAACTAAAATCCATTCGATCCATTGGATCCATCATCTCCATCGGATCCATTTTTTTATATAACTAAAATCCATCAGATCCATCGGATCCATTTTTTTTTAATATAACTAAAATCCATTCGATCCATTGGATCCATCAGATCCATCGGATCCATTTTTTTTTATATAACTAAAATCCATTCGATCCATTGGATCCATTTTTTTTTTAATATAACTAAAATCCATTCGATCCATTGGATCCATCAGATCCATCGGATCCATTTTTTTTTAATATAACTAAAATCCATTCGATCCATTGGATCCATCAGATCCATCGGATCCATTTTTTTTTAATATAACTAAAATCCATTCGATCCATTGGATCCATCAGATCCATTTTTTTTAATATAACTAAAATCCATTCGATCCATCAGATCCATCGGATCCAATTTTTTTTTATATAACTAAAATCCATTCGATCCATCAGATCCATCGGATCCATTTTTTTTATATAACTAAAATCCATTCGATCCATTGGATCCATCAGATCCATCGGATCCATTTATTTTTTTTTATATAACTAAAATCCATTGGATCCATTGGATCCATCAGATCCATCGGATCCATTTTTTTTATATAACTAAAATCCATTCGATCCATTGGATCCATCGGATCCATTTTTTTTATATATAACTAAAATCCATTCGATCCATTGGATCCATCAGATCCATCGGATCCATTTTTTTTATATATAACTAAAATCCATTCGATCCATTGGATCCATCAGATCCATTTTTTTTATATAACTAAAATCCATTCGATCCATTGGATCCATTTTTTTTATATAACTAAAATCCATTCGATCCATTGGATCCATCGGATCCATTTTTTTTATATAACTAAAATCCATTCGATCCATCGGATCCATTTTTTTTTAATATAACTAAATTCAGTGTTTTGGGATTTGAACCCACAAACCAAATAGTACTGTGACAATCCGCAAGGTGGTCTGTAATCATTGACACAAGTGCTTTGTTCTCCATGCGTAAATTTTTAACTAGTTTTTGGGATTACATTTATTCAAATTTGATGTGATTTTGAACATTTGTGTTACTCATTCTATGAGTTAAATATTGTTCGTTTATACATTGTTAGTTTCTATAGCTTTTATTGCCTAACAGTCGAACTATATGTGATTTTGAACAATTGTTCGTTCATTTTATTATGCATGACAAAACCAGAAATTTATAGTTTGATGGTCACAACAAATTTGAGCATAAAAATGTTAAGATTGCACACCAAAACATTAGTTATATTTGAAATCACTGGAACACGGCTAGTTTTAAGTATAAGTTTGAATTGAATTTCTCTTACATGCATTATTTCAAAAGTTCTGATCGATCATCTCTTTCAAAACTTTTGAAATACTGCATGTAAGAGAAATTCAATTCAAACTTATACTTAAAACTAGCCGTGTTCCAGTGATCTCAAATATAATAGCTAATGTTTTGGTGTGCAATTTTAACATTTTTATGCTCAAATTTGTTGTGACCATCAACTATAAATTTCTGGTTTTGTCATGCATAATAAAATGAACGAACAATTGATTCAAAATCACATATAGTTCGACTGTTAGGCAATAAAAGCTATAGAAACTAACAATGTATAAACGAACAATATTTTACTCATAGAATGAGTAACATATATGTTCAAAATCACATCAAATTTGAATAAATGCAATCCCAAAAACTAGTTAAAAATTTACGCATGGCGAACAAGTACTTGTGCCAATGGTTACAGACCTTATTAACTTTAATAGTGTGGCGAATAAGCGCACAATTTTGCAATATAAATCTGTATTTCTAGACCATTATTACTTTTGAAAAACCAGAAGCATGTTAGTTATAAGTAAAACAACTTTGATTTTTTTCATAAAGTTTATACACAACTGCTGGCAACAATGACGTTTAGAGAGTGTGGTATTTTTCCTTTAGACGTAAGACGAAAAACGACATAAGCATTAACCCCAAATTGTATTTCATTAAAGTCTCTCAGTATACTCAATTTCAGCCATTCTGTTCCAATTTATCTCCAGAGTAGAAGGCCTGCCGTATCATATTGGATTCGAAACATTTTTGAAAAACGTCCTATTTCTAATATAATGCCTACGGCTTCCGTGGACACAACCATACGAGTAGGCATAAAATTTGACCCAAAGTCATTTTGATTAATGTTATTAAACTTTTGACTTTAAATATTCTTTTTGAATTGTCATGTAATTGAGCATTCTGAAAGAAATCATTTGATGAAATAAAATTTGAGCCAGAATGAGTTTCAATTTATATCAATTGTTATTAAACTTTTACTCGAAATTTTTTTAAATGTCTTGTGAGTATATACAAAGATAAATCATTTCATGAAATAAGTTTAGGGCTAACATCCTCTTCGGACATCATTGTTGCCAAACCCTTTAGATGTTATTTTACATCAGTAGGATACTATTTTTCGCAAAGTAACAATTGCCCAAAAATACAGACTTAATTGCAAATTTTCCAACCCAATCTTCCACAGTACTATTCAGCCCCGACCACGGACACTGCTTTTTTTTATTATTTTCCCCGAAGTAGACGGCCGGCCAAGTCATCAATTTGTACAACTTGATGGCAACTTTATGTTAGAAGCTGGTAACAGGCATTTTCTTATAGTTTAAGCCTTGGTGAACAAGACTGTGTGTGTTACCACTTCTGATTTTTGCTTTATAGCCAAAAATTTGAGAATTTTTAGGTTTTGCCTATTAAATTACTACGATCGGAAAAAATGTAAAATTTCATGTTCTCTTATACGAAAAATAAACTATACCACTAGAAAGAGCGTAAAAAACTGTATATAAGACAATTAAGTGAGTTCTACGTTTTTCCAATCCTATTTCGAGTTTTTAATGTTAAAAAATGCAGAAATGACCAAATTAATGGTAATTAGTACCCATTTTGCCAACTTTAACCATCTTTAATTCAAAATCGGCTTGAAAATCGCACTAGTCGCTTAAGTTGTCTTATATATAGTTTTTTACGCTCTTTCTAGTCGTATAGTTTATTTTTCGTATAAGAGAACAAGAAATTTTACATTTTTTCCGATCATAGTAATTTAATAGGCAAAATTTAAAAATTCTCAAATTTTTGGCTATAAAGCAAAAATCAGAAGTGGTAACACACACAGTCTTATTCACAAAGGCTTGAACTATAAGAAAATGCCTGTTACCAGCTTCTAACATAAAGTTGCCATCAAACTCTCTTTAGAGGCGCTTTTTGCCACCTTGGCCGGCCGACTAAAGTTAAAACCATAACATCGTGCGAAAAAAACTTCGTGTGCACGCCGTATTTGTACATATTAATTATTCATTTAAAATTGGCACACATCGTGTGGGTACCGATTGTACGCAACCCCAGCATAGCAACTTATTAACATACAGAGTGTTTTCATGGCGACCCTGTTCAGGAACAAATCTGGATCGAAATACATATTTATTTTTTTCAAAAGCGAGTTTGCTCCTTAACAAACCAACATAAAAACACTCTAACCCTGGCGGTCTTTTCATTAGAAATGCCGTATTTACACTTAATGTGTTGTTAAATGTCGTAACAACTTGAATCTGAAGGCTTTGCCAGAAACGCACAACCCAGATTCAAATTGCAAAATGGCAACGTTTCGTGCGAGTGTATATTGCGCAGTTTCGACGCCTCTAAACTGTCTATCTCCCTAACTATTTTGCGCAGGCGACGGACCATATTATCCGCATGCAACCGCCCTGAAAAGGAATATCCCTGAAGGTATTGAGCCGCCATAAGAGGGGGGACCTAGTCACTGGTAGCGGACTGTTTTTTCATGAAGTAAGACCGGCTACCAGGGAAATACATGCTTTACCTTACTACGGGAGAGAAAATGTTTAAAATAACTTTGCCGCCATAATTGTCTTATTCTCGCCGATCCAAACGACCAACATGATTTTCACCAAGTCTTCTTACGGGTACCATTTGCACCCTCTAAGCTATGGGTACCATTTGTACCCCCTAACCCCAAGACAAACGATGCCAGTTTTTTGAAAAAAGATTTACATGAGGAAAGTGACAAATTTCTTTTTTGCTAACAAGCGACAAGATATTACAAAGAATCAAACAGCAATTTCCAATCGTCGTTGTATTTCGAAAGACAAAACTCTGGCAAAGCTTTTCTTGTACACATCCTGCCTCATGACCCTGTCTAAACTGTTGCGTTGCTGCACTTGTTATGCGTGTGTGCCCAAGGCAGTATATTTACAGAGGGAAACAATGGTACCATGAACGAATCATTAGAACCATGCAATAACCGTACACTCAAATGTTCTCTCTTTTCAGATCCGTTTTCAAATTCAGAAGCTGATGAATTTCGAAAGTACAGTTTTTGCAAAGAAAATCATCGTTATAAACTTTCGTTCAAGCTATCAAAGTCTACTGAACAGAAAATAGATCGAATGTGCAAATATACTGAACATTTATACCGCCAGGATTTATTCCGGATTTCATTGCCAGAACAACAAAACAATGGCCTGGGTACAAGTATCTACATATCTACAGCCTGTTCGCAGGCAAACAAGAAAGAACAGTACCTGAAAGTAGACATTTCTGTGACCTTTGTATGTCCATTAACTGAATATCCATTACGCGGCCATATTTATCCATCATAGTTTCTTTGTATCCATTTAGTATAGTCACAAATATCCAATGCTGACCATGACATTCAATCCTTTCATTTCATTTCATCCGAGGCATCCAATTTCATCATCGTCTTTGTCGTTTGGTACATTTTCTTTAAATCCATAGCTTCGTGATCATAACTACTGGCTTTGGTGTATTGTTGCAATTTGATCAGAAATAGAGGTATTTCCTCCTGTATTGCTCTTCGAGGCGTGTCATCTTGGTAACATGATATTTTATAAACCAATATTTCATCAGCATGTTCAGTAATGATCTGTAAAACAAAGCAAAAAATCAATAAGTAATTCAGATATAAAACTTAAACCATTTTGCTACAAATTAAACCGTTAGGTTGTACTGTGCCCTGATGCATACTCTACTTCAGTATTTTACTGTCCAACGCCAGCCAGTTTTATGCTTCATAATGAGACTGCCCATATGTATAGTTACCCATTAACTGCCAGTGCGCCCCCTGCTTAATAAAATTGTCTGACGTCAAACAGAGTTAAATAATATAAGTACAGTAGGTAAATAGACCTTTTCACGGTTTTCGACGACATTTTGTCGGGTAGGCAAGAATTTGCAGGCGCGGTCACCAAGCCTAATATAAATCACTATTGTTCTGCTACATCCAGAGTGTATTGTCTTGCGATATCACAAAAGATTACATTTTAAAGTTGTTTTGATGTGGTAAAAGTACAATGAGGTGAAAGGTAAGTTTTTTTTCTACATTTTATGCAACTCTCGTCGGTGTTGCTCGTATATTTTGCCAGATATATACAATTTTGTTGTAGTTATGCCTTGCGCCATGCATGCATTTATACTATATTTATATCACCATTGTTTAATACACACAAAAACCACGTTTTGTCACGAAACTACTGTTCTGTATAGAACTTATTATAGTATCGTGAAATCTCATGTATAAATAGTTTAAACTTTTATTATTTTCATGATGTTTGAGACGTTTTATATATTAAAACAATAAAAGGTATTCTATAGTGATCAATATTGTCAGTCACGGTCGAACTCGGCTGAGTAACACCTCAAAGTACATTCTACAAAGTCAAATTTGTAGAACAAGCACTTTTCAATGTTCGTACTATAATAGTGTTGTCAAACTGTGGAACATTGTATGTAAAGATGTATGTTTGGACACTGTGTCTAGTCCTAGTTCTTTTAAATGTTTAGTTAAACGTACATACTCTAGTATTGTTGATTGTATTTATGATGTTGACTTGTCATGTACGTGGTCCTTGTTTCGTGACTGTTCGTGTCATAGGACGTAAACTGTGGTGCACTAGGCGGTTGTGTCTTGTGTGTGTGTAATGTCACATAATTAGTTTTAATAACGTTTGGGAAGGTATCTTGCATGGTTCTTTGAGTCCCGTTTATACCTTGCCCATTTAGGGTCTATATTCTATTAATAATAGTTTGATTGAATATTTTATATGTTTTCTTTGTAATATATGGTTAATTGACCCTAATAAAGATGATAATAATAATAATATATTATATTGTATTTTTTTCTACTCCAAATTAGAAAATATATATTTGTGAGTCTATTTGTCAGTGACTCTTTATTGTTTGTAAATAGTTGCTTAACATAAGGGGCCATTCACAAAGGATGTCCGGCCAAATGAAATTATGGATTTTCAGACACCCCCCCCCTTGTCCGGCATTCTCCCAATTAGTGAACCCCCTGGACCAGGGCCACTGGGAGGGGGGCAAATTGTCCCGGGCCCCCACCTTAATAGGGCCCCAATTGAGAGCGAGAGCCTAAAATTGAACAGGTTCTTTAAATTGGTCAGAGCATTTTGAAATTGAGGGCCCCTCCACATTGCAGTCTAGCTTAAAAATAATGATGTCATGGGGCCCCGGGGGAGATTTGGCCGGGCCCCACAAATTCTCTTGGCAGCCCTGCCCCGGACATCCGCCACGTCTCACAAAAACTCACAAAACCTTGTATATGTCAAATACACTGTTCAATTCATCATTGAAGGAAAGAATTAGATAATATTATGAAGTGTTAAAAATGCCAATTTCACAATAGGAAGGAGAGTTTAAGAAATTTGTTTTTGATTTTTTTTTTAATTCTTACATCCCGCTTGCTAAAAAAACCCTCCCCCCTATGTTGAGTTTGTCTCGATTTTCCAACCCCCCCCCCCCCCCCCCCCCCCCCCTCAGCTTGAATATCCTTTGTGAATGGCCCCTAAGGAATTTCATTGACATTGTGATTTCTCGGTATAGTGTAGTACACAAACTGAGCTTTATTAAAATACTGTCTTTGAATATTTTATATTATAATCATTATACTAGTTTGATTGAAAAGGAAATACCAACATGCAAATATAATTATAGTATACTGAACTGAGTTTATGTCAATTGCATGTTATGACATGGATACCATGTTTTTGCTATATTAGTCATTTAATGGCATATATGAACAAAAGACTCACATATATATAGGATATTAGATGGTTGCGAAGAGATATGGATTTTATGTTCGAGTGGCAAAAACAATATCCCTGGAAGAACTTTATAGTATCTCACATGTGTTTAACGGAACTATTTACAAACAATAAAGAATCAATGCTACTGACAAATAGACTCACAAATATATATTTTCTAATTTGGAGTAGGAAAAATTACAATATAATATATAGTATATTGATCACTATAGAATACCTTTTATTGTTTTAATAATATATAAAACGTCTCAAACATCATGAAAATAATAAAAGTTTAAACTATTTATACATGAGAATTCATGATACTATAAGTTCTATACAGAACAGTAGTTTCATGAAAACATGGTTTTTGTGTGTATTAATTAAACAATGGTGACATAAATATAGTATAAATGCATGCATGGCGCAAGGCATAACTACAACAAAATTGTATATATCTGGCAAAATATACGAGCAACACCGACGAGAGTTGCATAAAATGTAGGAAAAAAGCTTACCTTTCACCTCATTGTACTTTTACCACATCAAAACAACTTTAAAATGCAATCTTTTGTGATATCGCAAGACAATACACTCCGGATGTAGCAGAACAATAGTGATTTATATTAGGCTTGGTGACCGCGCCTGCAAATGCTTGCCTACCCAACAAAATGTCGTTGAAAACCGTGAAAAGGCATATTAGGGTGCAAATCAACTTAATGGCTAAATGTGCTGTTTACATGATCCCAGTTTGTCAGGACAGGATGAAAGGTGGGATGCACTGAAATAAGTCACTAGGATGGTTAAAAGAACTCAAACTATGTTGTCTACACAATCTCATAGTAAAGATTATTAAGTCTATAAGTAGAAGTTCTGTCACACAATTATAAATCTATAACTTGAAAAATAATGTGAACTTTCTGAAAATTGTCAAAAACTGTTCTTTTAATCAAAACAATTACTTTCAAATGATAAAAAACATGAACTGGAATATTTTGGTCAAATCTAGCCCGCGTGCAGGCCCAAGGGAGCAGGCTGAAGGGAACTTGATAGTGGGCCTGCAAGCAAGGCCCGGTATTTTGTACTTTCCGCGTTCGCCCACGAACGCGGCATTCTGATTGGCTGTTTGCTGTTGGATTCTATAATTAGGCTGTTTATTGTTTACTTGAAGGAAGAAATGTTTTTGCCGTTATGCCAATGAGGATTGCTTGTCGTGAGGTGTTGGAATAGCAACATTTATTACGAATGGGGTAAAACTATAGTAACCTTTACTTGAGTTTCATTAATTTCAAACAGACTTGATACGTTATATGTTCCTCAAGAAAATTATCTTTTGGTTGATGTTGAGATGCAATTGCATGTAAGCCTATTCAAAATACTTTGCGATTTACAAGGCTTCGCTGAGAGAGCAAAAGATAAGACGGTATTAAATTGCCGTTTGAAACGAAACGATCTGGACTCTGAACACTGTCTTCTTTTGTAGAGTTCTCACCAAATGAAATAACTGAAATAAATTTCGTACTTTCCGCCGCCAACAAGAATTGCACACACGATCTGATAAGTGAGACAATTTATTTATAACAATGGCGACAGCGAAGCAACATTATAAATGCTGATGTGGTCGCACGACTTCCCTCACGATTTGAAGTTTGAGACTGGTTTTCTGTTGAAATTCGTCTTAATTTGCCTGTTCCGATTTTAGTTGAAAATGAGCACTTGTAAATTTGGCAATTACTGACTGTGTTGCTTGTTTTTTTGGAGTTTTAACACAGGCATTTACACATTGTTTCTATTTTGAATATTAAAGCAGAGAAAACCCCGCAACATTTTAATGCGAGTTTGTTTGTTAATATTTGGGTTGCTGTCATTGGTTCTTTTTTGACAATTGACGTGCGAATGGGGCGT